GAAGTTCCTAGCCAACCAAGGTGGTGGTTATCGTTCAAACTATCCAAGGCAGGGTGGTAACCAAGGTTGGATGCGGAGGATAGATATGTGCCTCCCCCACGAGCGCCAAAAGCCAAAGGATTTGGAGGGTGGTAGGTTTGAGGATAAGCTTTCGCGTATTCTTAGCAAAGTTGAAGGGTCAGACAAAATGTTGAAAGGCATGAAACAAGATGTTTCTACCCTTAGCTAGACCGTCACCACCCATTCTGTTTCAATGAAGCAGTTCGAGACCCAAATGGATTATATATCGTCGCACCTCAATCCGAGACAACAAGGGAGTTTACCTAGTGATACTATGGCTAACACCAAGAGTGAGGTTTGAAGGTGGACTTACATCGTGCCACGACATTAACTATGGTACTGTTTGGGAGGCAACCCAAAACCCCTTCAATGGCTTTCTTATTTCTCTGTAAAATAATGGTGTGTTGATTATGCAGATGGAAGTGTGGAGAGTGAACGAAAATTGCAAATTGGTGAGCAACAGGTCCAATTAGTGAATCGCTAAACGGTTCTGTGACTCAAAACTACACCGCCGTTAGACTCAACACCATCTTGCATTGGAGTATGTAAAACTCGACGATCACAGAAAAATAATTGGCAAACAAATCGACCCCCTATAAACCAGAGGTCTTGTAAATTTTGATAAAGAAGCTAAACAGTTGGCGTTCTGACAAGTGAGTAAGCGAGATGGACTTATGTCACTGAGTGGGCGAGAACTGGACAGTTTTTGCAAGACAAAGGTTTAAAAGTTTCAGCTTCATTCACTTACCCTCACTTTTTTTATCTGCCCAAACTCACACCTGTACTCTATTTTCAATATCCCTACACTTTTAGAGTATTTTAGTTGTTGATTTGTGTTCGAGACTTGGATTACATTGATGCCTAGGGAATCAATTCCATTTTAGTCAGCACGAAAGGTTGGTTCCGAAACTCTGAGTTCATTCTATCGATTTTGGACTAAATGCAATGAAATTACCTTTTTGATTTGTGCTGGGTTTCTCTGGTAGGATTGGAATATTTGTCTGCCTGTTAGATTTGCAAATTTTACATGTACTAAGTTAAATAGTTAATTCGTGAAGGTTGCATTTTTAAACTGACTTAAAAATTCATGGATTGAGCATGAATGTCATTGGGTCTAGGCCTAATTTGAGTTGTGCATGCGTTAATTGTGTTTTTGGGGGTCGCAGGGTTCAATTCGGGAAAGTGGGTAGAGAGCAGGCACATTGAGTCATTTGGTGAACAGGGTCAAGCTCGCTGAACCACTCGGCAGTTTGCCTACAATCCCCATCTCGCCTTTAATGAAATGCTAATTGTGATGTTGAATTATGTAATTTTCGGCGAGACGCATGACGTAACTGAAAGAATTCGGTGTTTCGCCGAAAAACTTCTAGTTCGCCTTTTGTCTGCACCCTTGCATTCTCTACGCACTGCAGTCGGCGAACCGCCTAAGTAATTGTGCACTTTGCCAAATCGTTCGGCAAAGTGATTCTGCAATTAAACTATCTGAATATTTTCTAACTTTTTCTCGAAGCTTTGTAGAAATGGCTAGACCAAAAGTAGCGGGAAGAGATATGCCATCCCGACAAAAAAGAGAGAAAAATTTTAGGAAAAATACAAAGTAACAAATCCCCCAAAAATGGATAAAGAGGGAAAGAAGCCCAGTGCAAGCAAGGGAACAAATCCCCGAGACCCCACTATTCTATCGTGGAAACGTGGATTCTTCATAGCCATCCACTCCTTTTAGGCGGCTCATGACTTGGGCAATCTTAGTAAGTCAACTGCCGCTGAATCTTCTAAAGAAGCTCCGGGGGCCATTATCAAATTTCAGGCTGACGCATCGGGCAGTGATGCCCAGACAGATGGAGCGACTGTGTAGACATGATTTCTACCTCCCTCTCTATCATTCTTTATTTTTAAAGTCTTGATATTCTGTCATTTGCATTTGAGGACAAATTGCTTTTATTTGTGGTGGGATAAGGCCCACCTTTTGTGTGAATATTGATGCTCGTGTTTTGTGGTTATATTCGGGTTGTTCTATTTTAATTCTTATTATACACTTCTTTGCGTGGATGTGTGAGCTTATGATTTTTGCCACTTCTCCTGTATTGGATGTGGTTGTTATTTTGCTAAAAATTGAGTCTCGGTTCCAATCAATACTGATGACTTGAATAGTGATCTCAATGGAATGAACATGAATGCGCGGCTACGATGAGGCCAAATGAAGTTGCATAGACAATGTATGAACTCTTTGCATCTCGTTATGACTAGCCCAGTATCGAATTGAGTCTCCTGTGATGATCATTGCACACTAGCGAAAGTGTGGAGTCTTGTTTGACTTATAGTGTCAATGCCTAGTGTGATGAGATTACTTGTGAACTATGCATGATAGATATTAGAATTTGCCTCGTTGGTCCTGTCAACTAAATGATGCTATCTCTTGATATGATCTTAGGCAACTTCTACGAGTCTGAGCCAATTTGACATATACCTCTTTTGTGACCTACCTTGTGTGTGTCTGATTCTCTCTTGAACACCCCTTGAGCCTTACCTTTCATTGGAAGAAACTTAATGAAAACTAGACCTTTCTTAATGCATCACCCATAATTCTCATAAAGTTATGGTTAGTTTGAATAGCCAACTTAGGCCAAAATCCTAAGTTGGGGGTGTGGTGAAAAGAGAAGGCAAATCAAGAACTACAAGAAAGTCCCTCCTACCCATGTTTTGAGGATAATGGAACCCATCCATAGATTAAAAAAAAGATAGAAAAAAAGAAGAAAAATAATGAAAAAGTAAAGTTGTGGAATAATGTTTAAAAATGAAAGTGGGTTTCCAAATAATTCTCGGAAAGTAAATAATAGGATGACTTATAAGCACTAATGAAAATGATGAATGAGAAAGGAAAGGAAGTGTTGTGAGCACCACACCTCATGAGGATGAAATTCACTGAGACTAAATGACCATACCTTAGCACTCAGCCCCATTACAAGCCTTGAAAAGACCTTTTTGATTTTGAGTGAGCTGAAACAAATGTTGATTGGAAAATACGGGCAAACCTCTGGGTAAAAGTATGTATTATGTTCTTCTTTGTGAGTGTGAGCGTTGCATCTGATTCCAAAGCTTTAAACTGTGAAACCGTTGTGTGAACATGGAATCATTCTTGTGCGAGGGCATTTGAACACTATAGTTGAGCTTGAACTTGCATTTGAAGCAACTATTGTGAACCTGAGATTCGTTGATATTGGTGAGTCACAACTTGAATCTTTAAGTGTACATTTGATCTTTATATAAACAAATTGTCTTGTTGTGTGAATTCCTGATTGAGTCTTGTATAGCACTGTTCAAGACACCGTTTTTGAATGGCTGAACATGTGTTTGCTTGAGTACAAGCAAAAGTTTAAGTTGCGGGTGTTGATGAGTCCACAAATTGGACTCATTTAGGGCTATATTTTAATAGAAATTGTGTCCTCAAATTCTTATTTTATTTCAATATCTGATGAAAACCCTTAAGTTTCAAGTATTTGAAGTTTTAAGGAAATCATGGATACTACGTCTCAAAGAGGAATGAAAAGGCTGAAAAGAACGAAGAAATGAAGGCCTGAGAATCATCGAGTCTACTTGGTGAGTCGTCGAAGGGTCTTACTTCGCCTTTTGTTCCAGTGTGCTGATCCCTGAAGGAAAGGATGAAGTCGGCGGAAAAACGAAGCAATTGGCGCATCGTCAAGAAGTTCCGCGAAGCAGTACCATGTCGCCCAATAACCCAGAGAACAACGATGTTGAGGGTTGGTGAAAAATGGCGATAAACCACACCAAAGGCGAATCGCCGAGTTGATCGTCGATTCCGACTAACGACACCGAATGATTAGCTGCAGCACAAATTTGTAAAAACTATAAATACTAATTAAAGTTTTAGTTTTAGTGTGGAACAATTATTATAATTTTCACTTATAGTCGAAAAATTATGATAGGTTTTATATAGAATAGTACTTTTTCATATTTTTTGCTCTAAGTTTGAGAGGATTTTGAAGACTTGAAAAATAAGAGGGTTTCATCTCGAAGGATTCAGACTTGGGTCTCTTGATTTCTTCATTCTTGGCCTGTAACAAGACTCAAATCTTCATACACATTTGAATGCAAGCTCATTTAGGTATAAATTTCTATCTCCTAATGTGTGGCTAAAACCCCCAATTCCTGGGGTGTGATTTAGCGAATATGGATTAAGATAATTATTGGGTCCTGCTTGTTGATAGTCTATTCATAGTTTAAATGTGATTTCGTTTAGTGGTTGTGGATGAATTTTATGAATTTGTAGTTGCAAATACAAGTTTATTTATGTGTTTTCGTCTTGCTCGAGAGAGAGGTCGTAAAACTAAGACCACTAGATTGATGGCCAGTGTGAGTAGGTCGACATGAGGTTCAGCTCGAGAGAGTGAATCCTAGTCCCATGTCCACACATTCAGCTCGAGAGAGTGTGTGGGTTAAGGTGTAGGTTGGTCTTCATGCGGCAAGTGGGTGTCCGATAGGAACGCATTTGAAATGGGGTAAGTTGCTCGAGAGAAAGCTTATCCCCCTTAAAGCTTAGCGTAGTCACAATTACTTTATGAATCTTCTATCGAAAGCATGTACCCAATAATCTAGCTGAACCTGTATTCTCGTCACATCCCAAGGATCCCCTCTTATTACTTAGAAACCCTTGTTTATTCTGTTGTTTTTACCTTACTTGTGACAAAACTCCCCCATTATTAATTAACAACTTTGTGTCCCCCTTTAATTTACAATGTTTTTACTCGTTAATGTCTTTAGCTACGACTAGTTAGAACTAAATTTTATTTTTCTATGTATTCTCAAAACCACTCTCTTGGGACGATCCCAACACTTGGTTGGGTTACTAAACTATTGTACAATCGTAGACACTTGCATCGGAAGTTATGTCTTGATTATGCAAACATCAAAGCCCCTAAACCCTACTTCTTGTAGATAGACAATGGCATCAGATTAAACCTAGCACCCAAATCACACAACGCCTTCACAAAATGCAACAACCCAGTGGTACAAGGAATAGTGAAGGCACCATGAACCTCTTTCTTCTGCACAATTGACCTAGTAGCAATAGCACTGCAATGTTGCAATCTTTTATCATTCTCAAAACTGACGGCCCTCTTTTTGGTCACCAAATCCATCATAAACTTCGCGTACCCTGGAATTTTCTCCAAATCTTCTATCAACGAAACATTAATGGTAAACTGTTTAAAAATAGTAATGAACCTACGACATTTTCCATCTTTGGTCTTCTTTACCAATTTATGTGGGAATGGAGTTAGAGGTCTAGGCATGGGAACAACTTTTTGGGTCACCTCTACTTCATTCTTTGTAGCTTTTTTAAACTCTCCAGTTACCTTAATTTCATCATCATCTCGTTCTGCCACAATTTGAACTTCAGACGGCATAGGGGGATCAATGGTTTGTTTACCTCCTCGAGTAGTGACTGCCATACAATGCCCATCATTCTTCGGATTTTGGATGGTGTTGCTAGGAAGTGTGCCAGGCTGACGTGGGATCACTGTAGTGGACAACTGATTAAACTGCTGCTGAAGTTTCTTGATGGACACTGTATGGGCATCAACTTTTTGATCGATTCTAGACAAGTCGTTTTGCATTTCTTTCACATTCTGATCAGTCGCATCAAAGTGCTTCATCATCTTCTGCATCATATCCTCAATGCATGAAATACTACCCCTAGCTTCTCTATTACTAGATTCCCAATTTTCAAGTGGAACATAAGGCCAAACTCTCTCATTTCTAGTTTCCATAGTTTTGACCTTGGTTTCCTTGACCTTGGAGCCAATTTTCCAAGTTGGAGCCTTGGGTGTTGTCTTGGAATCCCCCCGTCTGATCATTCACTAAATAAGCATCCTTCTCATAGTAGCATTCCTCAACTGGTGGTGGTGGAGTTCTAGTAAGATAGTTTACCGCATTCACTTTCCCTGCACCTCCGCTCACATGCTTCAACACCAACCCAAGTTCTGTCTTCATCTGAGCCATCTCCTCACGAATGTCATCACTAGATTGATCTGGTGTTGCTTGAACAGAGAATGCACTTCTTACTATATTAGCTTTTGTAGTGCTCCATGCCTTATTATTCTAGCAAATCTTCTCAAATTTTTCAGTGATCTCCTCAAAAGTGCACTCACCATAGGATCCTCCAGCGATAATATCTAGCACAACATTTTTGTTGTCATCCTTCCCTCGGAAGAAAAACTCATTTAATGACTCATCATCTATGTGGTGATTTGGAACACTTCTGATGAACGCAGTTAATCTATCCCAAGAACTTCTCACAGACTCTCCAGGTAGTGCAACGAAATTATTCAACTTGTCCTTGTGGTTAAGCTTCTTAGACACTGGGAAATACTTTTCCATGAACACTCGATGCAATTGGTCCCATGTATGAATTTAATTATATAGAAGCTCAACAAACCACACCGCAACATCATCGGTCAATGATAGAGGGAAAACTCTCAACCCGATGACATCCATATCCAACTCTGGTTGGAAGCATCTGCATCAAACTGCTCGTTACCATGAATGTATGCCCTGGAGGTAGAGGATGGAGAACAATAGGTCCTTCTGATTCAACTGTATTGAAGTCAACCCTGTAGTTATCACGGAACCTCGGTTTTAGCAGATTTTGTACCCTCATTGCATCTCCAAGTAGATTACCACCACGAACCCTGAGCATTCTCATAACCAACTCTAGGAGGCTGCAAGTCAACTCTATCCTCGTGTTCATCAATGATTGGATTATTATGGACCTGTTGATTATTTATTTTTCTCAAAGTTTTACTTAATTTCGGATCGTATGGGGTAAATGGTTCCCCTCGAATCTCTGTACTTGGCATACAGTGGAGTAGAAACCTGTAGAAAACAAAAACAAAAGTTGGTAAAATAGGTAACCCTAAGTGATTGGTCCTCAAAATACGGAATTTCACCCCACACCTTAGTCCAACTATGTTTATAATTTACTAACCCTTACCTTTACCGCATATTAGACATCACATCAATGTATGGATTAGTTTTCACCCTCGCACCAATTGACATTAGACTATTAGATAGTATCATACTAAATCTCTGTTGATAATTCTTTTCTTATTAACTACCTCCTTGGTCCGGCAAGTAGCAACAAGGCGAGTTCTAATGCGTGCACTCATTAAAAAGACTTCTAAGTGAAAGAAATACCAATGCATGCATCAAAAATATTCAAGAATTACTTAGTTATTATTCATAAGTTGTTAATTGCTCAAAGTTCCCACAATCCTAGTTGTAGATTTAGCTACTCATGCCTGAATAAACACAATTCATGTTTTGATTATAAGAATCCATGAACTTACATTTATAGTAGAAGAACTCGAAATCTCGAATTGAATTTCAAAGAAAAAATCTTATAAACCGAAATCTGGAAATCAAATTGCCAAATTTTGCAAGTTAATTCCTAAGAAAAATATCAAGACCTAAAAGTAAACAATAATGTCTAACCACCAAAAATGAGGTTTACATACCCTATTTATAGAAAAACATGTTCTAAACAAAAAGGAAACAAAATAAGGAAATAAACTTATGGGATGCGGCTTTCATCGATGAATTGACCTACGGTACGTAAGTCCCCTCCGTTGGTAAACACTTAGAACATTTCAGCAGAGGTTGGAACCTTCAACTCCCATTCTATCATCTATGGAAATGTAGGATGGACCGTAAGTTGATCGACGGTGCATGGGTCCTCTTCCGTGGTCAACACTTAGGATTTTCATTAGGTACTGGAATTTCAACTCCCAGTTCACATTTGACGGATGTGTAGGACGACCCGTAGGTCGACCTACAGTCCGTGAATTACTTTGTAGTTCCACACTTGATTAGAATTCCCTGATGCTCATCTTTACGCCTACCCATCGACGGACCATCACAAGACCTACGGTTTGTAGGTCCCTCCATGAGTGGTCACTTATGTAGAATTTTAGTTGTCATCTCACTCAACTGCGTCAAAGCCTATTTCCTACAAACATAGCACATAAAAAATTATTTCCAATACAAAATGGCCTTTGACACACATAACTCTTAAGTGATATGTATCGAAAATACCATAATCTCACGTTATATCACTCCGGCTGAAGGAAAAGCGATTTTCAACATTACTAGCACACTGCTTCAGCTCCTACAACTTAAAGGATTATCTGGGGGCTGGCTCATGAGGATCCCCATGAGCATATTAGGAACTTAAAGGATGTCTATGGTTCATTCTCATTTAAGAACATATCACAAGAATTATTTTATCCCAGGTTTTTTCCATTCTCTTTGATGGGTGAAGCTACTAGATGGTTGGTTGGGTTATCGAGGGACTCCATCACTTCTTGGGATGAGCTTACCACAAAATTCCAAGTGAGATTCTTTCTCCCATTAAAGATGATGATTCTAAAAGATGGCATCCAAGTTTTCAAACGCTTAGAAGGTGAGCTTTGGTGCTTCAGTGCCCAACTGATGGACTTCCAAATAATGTGCTACTAAAACACTTCTATAGGAGTCTCGATACGGTGAACAAAGGAATGGCTGATCAACTTTCTCCTGGTGGTATGATACAACAACCATATGAAGTAGCGTCCCAACTGTTTGATTGCATGACCAGGATCAATAGGGTATGGCACACTCGTGAAGATCATGTATCTTCTCTCATGTTTAGAATGACAAAAGAACAAATCGAAAAAGACTAAGAGAGAGACCAAAACATGGTTAAAATGATGAACCAACTGGATATCTTAGAAAAATATGTCATGGGTAGTGGTGCAAGGAGTGTAAATGTTGTGGGTGTTAGGGGACTAAACCCCGATGAAGCACAATTTGAAGCATTGTACAATGAGAAGGTGAACTTCTTTGCTAATCAAGGAGAAGGTTATCGTGCAAACTACCCAAGACTTGGTGGAAATCAAGGTTGGAACAAAGATATGGGGTGGAGAGACCGTAACAGAGATTGGAGTGATCGTAAAGCCACCTGGAAGGAGAAAGAGGGGGACAAGGATAGGTACGTCCCTCCCATGAGCTTCAACAGCTTAAGGAATCCAAAGGTGGCCGTATAGAAGATATACTTTTAACATTCTCAACAAAGTTTAAGGGTCTGACAAGGTGTTAAAAGAGATGAAAGAGGATGTCTCAACTCTCAATCATACGGTGACCTCTCACTCAGTCTCTATTAAGCAGCTGGAGAACAAAAATGGGTCAAATTTCATCTCATTTGAATCCAAGACAACAAGGGGGGTTGCCTAATGTCACAATGGCAAACCCCAAAAATGAAGTTTGATTTGGTATCCTCGTCTTGCCGTGACGTTAACTTAGGCGCTTCTTGGGAGGCAACCCAAGTATTTGATGTTTTTAAAGTTTTCTTGTGAATAACGGGTGTTGATTGTGCAGGTTGAAAAGTAAAAAGTTTGGGAAAGTGAGTAATTTGGTGAGCCAAAGTCTAGTCTGCGCCACGCAAAATAGGTCGCTGAGCCCTGACTTGGACCACCATTGGAACTACCAAAATTGTTGGTAGCCCTGTAAAACTCGATGAGGAAAATAACACTCGGCGCATCACTGAATGGTTCAGCGAGGGAGACTTACACCACCGAATGTGCCGCTAACTGAAAGGTTTTAAAGGCCAAACAGTTTAAAATTTCAGAATCCTTCCACTTCTCGTAGTTTTAACTCCTGTACCCTATCACCCAACTTTATATGTTTCATATTTTATTGGTTTTACCCACTCATTGTGTGAAATTGTTAATAGGAATTGTGGAACTTTGTTGCCTAACTTTACAAATCGAAATTTCAGCACAAGGGTTGGTTAATAGAACCCTATTCTTTAATTTTGTGGTTGAAATCAAATGCAATAGGTAAATTTGTTGTTGTTTTGTATTGTGTAATTGTTATAATATGGTTTCAGTGTTGTATTGCCTGTAATGAATTGAATTGTGTGCCTAATTTCCTTACCTTGATTGATTCTTGTGTTCTTGCTTGTAAAATCTAGTTTAAATTATTGGGTGGCGGTGTAAATGTGTAGGGTCTTATGGAGTGAAGTCTAAGTAACCCCAAATTGTGTTAAATGACGTAATTTTTCCAATGCTGCAGCGTCTGACGTCATTCTTAAGGGAAAAATTCATCAAATGACCAATTTTGGCCAAATCAGTGGAAGTCTGAGTACCTCGAGGGCATGGGTAGTATGGTTCTAGCCTTAATTTAATAGTGTATGTGTTTAATTTTTAATTCAGAGGTTGTGGGACTGATTTGGATGTTTGGGTTCAAAACTGGCAAGTTGGGCCGTTTGGCGAGCTAAGTCGAGCTCACCCAATGGTTCGGTGGTTCACAGAAGTCCCCCTTAGATCGCCCTTAATTTTATAATTAGGTGAGATTGTTCTGTAACTTTCGGCGAGAAGCCTGAGCTCGCTGAGTTCACTTGGCGACCCGCCGAAAAGCCTTCTTGATCGCGATTTTAGTGCCCCTAACCCCTAAAATGCATTACAACTTTTGGCGATCCAGTTTTAGCTCGCCGATTGGTGTTGACGATTCTCTGAATGGCCTTGAACATCGCCGACTTGTCTTGATTTGTGAAAATTGTTGCGCTGGTACTTTTAGCGATCCCTATCTTCTTCTCCAAATTTACTCGTTGACTTGGGGCGAATCTTTCTGCAAC